CAGATTTGCACCTGACTCAGCTGTGATCTGCTCACATGGCGGCCTGGCCTTTAGTGCTTCTGGCCCCCTTTCCTCACCTCCTCTGGCTCTGGCTACCTTGGAACAAAGGTTGTCAGGTTACCAGCTAGAGGCAGGTCCAGATGGGTTGGTTCCCAGGACTTTCAGGATTCTCTGCCACTCTTATGATGGTTGCTTCCTGACCCTGTGCCCTTGCTGGGGACTCATTCCTAGAATTTCTTCTTAGGCTTCAGGCCATTGTGCAGTAACCTTGGCAATGGTTATTGTTAATTTTAGAACCTTTAAAAATGTTTTTGAATAGGATTGTATTCACATGGTTCAAAAATGACAAATTTATTACAAGCATCACAGTTCCTGTCACCTCTTTTTCAAAGATAAGTATTATGAAAGTAGTAACTTACTGGGTATTCGTTATAAATTTTTTTGTTTTTAGTTTTTGAGACAGGGTCTCACTATGTAGCCCAGGCTGTCCTTGAACTTTGATTCTTCTATCTTTGGAGTGCTGGGCTTTCAAGTGTGTGGTACCATACCCAACTCGGTTTCTTTTCTCCCTCTTCCTACCTTCCTTTCTTCCTTCCTTCCTTCCTTCCTTCCCGTTTGAGCTCAGGGTCTCATGCTTGCTGAGCAGGCACTCTATCACTTGAGCCATGCTCCCAGCCCCCACTCAGTGTTTCATTACATACATATATAAGGAATACTTGTGGAAATGCAACTGTCAGCACGGGACACTGTACAGGAGACTGGACTAGTCTGCCAGGGTGGTGTGATGTCTGTAGGACAGTATGTCTGTCTAATGTCAGGGAATACAGTTTGCTGAAGTGTTGTTTTGCCCTAATTAATTTTTAATCATAGCTTCAACCTTCTCCGGACCCTTACCTCAGGATGGGCAGGAGGACACACAACCCAGTGCCTTTGCACATAACTTTCGAAGATGGATATGTGTTTTAAAAGCAAGGTCCCATGTATCTTAGTTCGATGGGCCTACTGAAAACCAAACTGTACAGCTCCCACAGACTTGGATGCCAGCTGTAGGAGCAGAACTGAAAATGTGGATTCCTATTTTCCTCTTCTTGTTTTGCAAGGCAGCCTGTTGTACACACTTCTACATCTTGCTTGTTTTAAATTTGATATAACTTAGATCTTTTCATATCATCCTTAGAGCACTTCTTCACTCCCTCTCCCTTTTTTTTTTATAATTCTGTAGAGTTCCATTGTATGGCTGAACCATAATTTTTAAGTTAGCCCTGTACTGGTACGTATTTGTGTGGATTCCTATATTTGGCTGCAATGAAAAACTGCACATATGCACAGTTACATTACCTGATTCATAATGCTCAGACGAATAAAATGGAGGTGGGGCAGTGTGGCTTACTGAGTTGTCCACTCAGAATTTTATATATATTTTTGGCAGTACTGGGGATTGAACTCAGGGCCTTGTGCTTGCCAGGCAGGTGCTCTACCACTTGAGCTACTCTGCCAGCTTCTTTTGTGGTTTTTTTCCTTAAGATAGGCTCTTGCTTTATATCCAGGCCATCCTGGACTGTGATGCTCCTGTTTGTGCTTCCCTGCATATCTGGAATGATAGGCATGTAACCAGCCATTGGTTGAGATGGGGTCTTGTGAACTTTTTGCCCACACTAGACTTGAACCTCAGTCCCCTTATCTCCACCTTCCATATAGCTAGGAATACAGCTATGTGTTTCTGTGCCCAGCTGACTTAAATCATCAGATGAATTCTTTCTGTTCAGATAACTCTATACAGTAATGTACAGTGAGGCAATACATGACTGTAATCCCAGCACTCAAGAGGCTGAAGCAGGACAGTCTTGGGTTTAAGGCCAGCCTGGACTACATGGAGATTCCAAGGTCAGCATGACCCTGGCTCAAACAAACAAACAAACAAGGCTGGTATCGAAGGCTTTGAATTAGGATTTGATAAAGGGACAAGTATTTAGGATCCCCTGCCGACACTGGCTATAGTTCGTTACATTTAAAGGATATAAAACAGGTTCCTACATGAGTGTCTGCTCCCTCCTCAGTGAAGAACTAACCATCACCCTTATCAGTGTGATAGAAGGCACCGTTTCGTGTCCATTTTATTCTTCCCAGTCATCATCTTGTCATCCCAATATGGCTGTGTCTGGCTTCAGAATCTTTCCCTAAGTCTTTGTCTCTGTAGTTGCTTCAACTCTTAGCTTCTGCTCCTTTAGCAGTCGATTCTGCCTGATGTTTTGCTTTCCTTAAGGCTCTGTAGCTTGTTGCAGCCCTGGCTGTAATATGAGGTGCCGTGCCTTACCCCACTGGTGGGGCACACCCTCGTCTGCCCTCCCTATAGGAGTCAGTCTCTTCTGCCCTTCCACACAGGGACAGGAGGAAGGTTCTTGGATTCCTGAATTGGGCAACATCATAGATGCTACCTGAGTACCACTGGGAATGTCTCAGGGATCAACACTTAACCATATCCAGCCCCAACTCGGGATTTTTACGCTGGCATAGATCCCTCCTCCTTCTTGCTCCAGGAAGCATCACTCATTTTTTTTTGAAGTTCTCCCCTTCCCCATGACCTTCTTTCTCTTTTCATTTCTCCTGTAACATCTCCGTGAGCACAGTGTTTTCCCAGGCTGGGAGGCTGGGTTCTTTGGGACACCAGTTCCACAGTGTGTCATTTGATCTTAGAATGGTTAGTTGCTCAGCATGGCAAGGGGAAGCTGTGCCCTAAGGAGTCGGCTTTTCTACTTTCTCACAAGCATGGCTTCTTCACCAATGCTTTGGAGCTTTCCCAGTGGCTACTAAGACTTTGTTAGGAGATCTCTCTCTCTCTCTCTCTCAACCATGTCAGAAGCAAAATCCTTACCTCTTTCTTCTTCAAAGCCTCCATCCATTTGGGGCTGTCCACTAGGCTGCTGTTTCCTCTCTCAGAATGCTTCTAGCCTTGGTATTTAAGACAAACAATGACCCAGAGACAAATGACAATGATCAGAGACAAAGCCTACCCTGTCTCTGATCGGATCTGCCCATATCTGGGAGAACCCCCTGAGATGTGTTGATGGTGTGTCACTCCAGGAGCCTTAATGCTACTAAGTTTAATCTCAAAATACAGCATCTACCATCCAACATATTTTCTATTGTAGGAAAAGGAAGGTGTTTCCTTTGTTCAACATGTGTTTGCAGCTTTCCAGGGCTTCTTCTGGAAATTTCAGTCGTGAATGTTTGTCTTCTGTCTCAATATTCTTGTGCCTGTCTTCTACACAGAACACTATCTTGAGCACAGTGTCTGGGTTTATTTTGGGGGGAGTTAATCCCACTGAGGGTTGTCAGAAGTTTGAGTGTTTGCTCCTTAATAATGATAGCCAGTGGGAGGAGCAAACGACATCATTGAAGTCATGGAGTCTGCTCCCTAGAGAACTCACTGGATCTCAGCAGCCAGTTACTCCTGTTTTTTTTTTTTTGCTTCCTCACCTTGTTTGGATCAAATTAATAATCCCATTATTTATTGTAGGGAGAAGAGATCTGGTGGCCAAATCCCTGTTTTTTTTTTTTTCATTTTTTTCATTTTTCTTTTATTATTCATATGTGCATACAAGTCTTGGTTCATTTCTCCCCCCTGCCCCCACCCCCTCCCTTACCACCCACTCCGCCCCCTCCCTCTCCCCCCCCAATACCCAGCAGAAACTATTTTGCCCTTATTTCTAATTTTGTTGTAGAGAGAGTATAAGCAATAATAGGAAGGAACAAGGGTTTTTGCTGGTTGAGATAAGGATAGCTATACAGGGAGTTGACTCACATTAATTTCCTGTGCATGGGTGTTACCTTCTAGGTTAATTCTTTTTGATCTAACCTTTACTCTAGTTCCTGTTCCCCTTTTCCTATTGGCCTCAGTTGCTTTAAGGTATCTGCTTTAGTTTCTCTGCGTTAAGGGCAACAAATGCTAGCTAGTTTTTTAGGTGTCTTACCTATCCTCACCCCTCCCTTGTGTGCTCTCGCTTTTATCATGTACTCAAAGTCAAATCCCATTGTTGTGTTTGCCCTTGATCTAATGTCCACATATGAGGGAGAACACACGATTTTTGGTCTTTTGGGCCAAATCCCTGTTTTGTTTTTTAACTTTAATTTTTCTTAGCACTTAAGACTCTTTGAAAATCACCTTGTAAGCTTGTTTATGAACGTGCCCCCCCTCAACCTTAAGCATAGAAATTTCATGCAAGTAGAGACCTTGTCTGTCTCATTCACCTTCATCCTCCTGGTACAGCACACAGGGCAGCTCAAAATTGCATCTCTGATCTCTCTGCCATGGTTCTCTGGGAAGAATGCCTTAATCTACATACAATGAGTGGCACAACCACACCCGGCCATGGTAACAAGTTGGATTTCAAGTCTGGGTGTCTGTGATAGATTTGGAGGCAAGGGGAGTTGGGGTTATGGGAAAAGATGTTCAATTTGAGAAAGGTCTGAATTCTGCCACTATTTATTTGAGGGACTTCTGAGCCTCGGTTTCTTTATCTGTACAAGATGGGTAACTGACACCCATGCATACATACATGCACAGTTTAAATCCTCAGTTGCACAATATATGAAAACGTGTTTTAAACTCTATAATGCTTCGCAAAAAAAATGTGAGAGATTGCAAAATGGTAGTCATTTTCTTCTTTGCTTCTTTCTTTCTTTTGCTATTTCCCCCCCCATAAAGCTGAGTGTCCTGGCATGCCTTGGCCAGCTGTCAGAGCCAGGATTTCTGCATTGCTGTCTTCACGTGTCACTTTTGCAGTGTGAACTAAGAAGAGGACCTCTTAGGATTTCCATTACTGCAGTAACACTGGGGGTGGAGGGTCTTAGCAGGACCTAGGAATGTGCTTGCTGGCTCCAGGCCTGGCCTCAGCCCCTGTGCTGCTGGGGAGCACATTGTCATTGTCCTGAGCTGGGAACTGTTCACCATGAGTGAGCTGTACCATCAAGGGTTGTTTGACCGTGTTCTCTTTCCCCAGGAGGCTGCTCAAGAGTGAACTCGGGTCGTTCATTACAGACTATTTCCAGGTAAGCTATGTGGGTCAAGGCTCCATCATTATCTTGCATGTGGGTCCAGATGCCCAAAGAGATGGCAATATACACCTGGTTGGTCACCATTATATCTGCTGAGTCCCCACTAGTGTTAGCAACACAGTACATGGGGGTGGAGGGGACCCAGGTGAATGTGATCCCTAAAGTTACTGAAGATAACAGGGTCATGCAGTGGTCTTGGGCCTTTGGGTCTCAGGACTCCTTTAAGCTCTCAAAAATTATTGCTTATCTGGGTAATGTCCATCTGCCTTTATCCTACTGAGAAATGAAGCCTCAGACACTTTCAAATATGTCTTAATTTAAGTAATAAGCCTATTACATAGGAACATCACACTTTTATGAAAAATAACTCGGAATAAACACTGAGGCAAGAAGAGTGACACTGTTTTATGTGTTTGAAAATGTCTTCCCCATCTAGCTTCTTAGAGGATGCCTGGTTCTTCTATCTGCATTGTGATCAGTTATGATATTGTATGTCACCTACTCTTAGGATGGCTCCACTGAGCAGGCCTGGAGGATGCAAGAGAAAAGGTGAAAACAGCTTAGTTTTACTGAGAAGAGAGTTTTGACTGTGTGGACTCCTTGAAATGGCCTGGGAGATCCCCCCTGGGAACCCCAAATCACACTTTGAGACTGCTGCTCTGAGGACATTTCCTCTTAGCCCTGTGTGCTATGTGTAGTTGGTTTAAGTCTATGTGTCCTTTAGCCAAGTTATTTCTTGTCACTATGCCTCCTGGTACATTCTTTTTTTTTCTTTTTTTATTATATTCATATGTGTATACAATGTTTGGGTCATTTCTCCCCTCTTCCCCCCCCCCCCGTCCCTTCCCTTACTACCCCCAGCCCCTCGCTACCAGGCAGAAACTATTTTGCCCTTATCTCTAGTTTTGTTGAAGAGAGAGTATAAGCAATAATAGGAAGGAACAAGGGTTTTTGCTGGTTGAGATAAGGTTAGCTATACAGGGAGTTGACTCACATTAATTTCCTGTGCATGTGTGTTACCTTCTAGGTTAATTCTTTTTGATCTAACCTTTTCTCTAGTTCCTGGTCCCCTTCTCCTATTGGCCTCAGTTGCTTTAAAGTATCTGCATTAGTTTCTCTGCACTGAGGGCAACAAATGCTATCTAGTTTTTTGGGTGTTTTACCTATCCTTATATCTCCCGTGTGCTCTCGCTTTATCATGTGCTCAAAGTCCAATCCCCTTGTTGTGTTTGCCCTTGATCTAATGTCCGCATATGAGGGAGAACATATGATTTTTGGTCTTTTGGGCCAGGCTAACCTCACTCAGAATGATGTTGTCCAGTTCCATCCATTTATCTGCAAATGATAGCATTTTATTCTTCTTCATGGCTGCATAAAATTCCATTGTGTATAAATCTGGGATTTTCTTTTAAAGACAAATTTGGATCTGACCACCAACCTCCTTTCCTGCCTGCACACTGTGGTAAAGGGGTTGTGAGTCTTAGTAGAGGACAGTTTCTAATTCATGGACACAAGCTCCCTTCCTGACTCTAACCAAAGGGATGTGGGTAAGTGTTGGATGACAGTGAGTAACTGGGTGACAGTTTAGTGAAGTTAGAGTTCCCACTTCTCACTCATTTATTTGCTGAGTGGGCTTGGGCAAGGTGCTTTATTCATCTCTCTGCTTCAGTTTCTTGATCTGTAAAATGGAATAAAAATACTGCTTACTTTTTAAGGTCATTGTATGAGCATTGTATGGGCAGCATAGGGCAGTCGTCAAAGGCATGGGACCTTTGAGGCAGACTACCTGAGTTCTTGTGGCCAGCAGAGCCATTTTCTAGCTGAGCAAGTGGCTTTAGGTATTTTAGTTTCCTCTTCTACAATACAGGAGTAATAGGACCTAACCTTATAGGTTGTGGTGAGGACTATGCAAGTTGTTATTTATAAAGTACTTAATGACCAGTGTGGAGTAGGAGAGAATAACATTGTTTGTTAAATTTATATGGATTCCTGTGTGACATTCTAAAGTGTAATCTATCCCTTTTAATGGGCAAGTCACAGATGATCTTGGTTTCAGATTGGTTATATTTTTTCTTGTCCAAGTACAGCATACTTTTAAGACAGTTTAAAGAAATTTTAGGTTTTAAAAACACAGATATCCTTTTATTATTTGTTCCTTCTCAAGTTTCAAGAAGCTTAAACTTTTATGTGCACTTTAAAAGAATGAAAAATGTCGGTTAAACATGCACACACACACATACACACACACACACACACACAGATGGGGGGGGAGAGAGAGAGAGAGAGACAGAGAGACAGAGAGAGAAAAGAAAATGGCTACTCTAAATCTGAACAGGCGAGACCCAGAAGCCTGGAACTCATTTGGGTCGTATGTCTTAGCTGTTTGGACCACAGCTCCTATCAGGGAGAGAAAAACATGCAGATTAAGAGCTAATTAGTCACAAATGTGGATCTCTTCAGGCCCGGCTTGGCCTCCCCCTCCTCCCGTGCTGGCTGATTGATTTTAAAGTCAGTGACTGGGAACTGGTTTTTCAGTCAGACCTGGAGACACCCACTGGGCCTGGCTACCTTTCTCTGTGTCATTTGATAGCGACAGGGGTTGGTATGGTTTCACTCAGGTTTGAAATGTCAGTCGTCTTGGCGTTGGGGCCACCCCTAGGATGGTAGGGAAGGCGTGCTTGGGTGGGGACTTGTTTATAAGGGAAGCCCTGAGGTTTTCGGGGGTGGTTAATACTGCTTACAAAACATGCCAGATACTTAAAAACTAATAACCACTAGTCATTTCCTATCAGGAGTGTAATCAGTAAAACTGCTGGGTGAATATCGAGTCTCTTTCTGGGGCTGTGGGGTGGGGACTGGTTTTCATATCTTTCAATCTGGGGTTTTCCTTATTTAAAGTATTAGACTGGAAAGAAGGCCTCCTAGATACTACTTTGCTAAAATGTAGACCTCAAGACTTGTATCTTAAAATCTTTTTTTCTGCATTGCTGTCGTTTTTTAAATATTTGGTTCCCTACTTTTTTTTTTTTTTTTTTTTGGGCGGGAGTGGGGTTTGAACTCAGGGTCTCATGCTTGCAACTCAAGTGTTCTAATACTTGAGCCACTTCCCCAGCCCTTTTTTTTTGTGATGCATACTTTTGACATAGGGTCTTGAGCACTATTTGTCTGGGCTGGCTTTGAACCATGATCCTTCTGATTTCTGCCTCCTGAGTAGCTAAGATTACAGGCCTGAGCCACCAGCACCCAGTAAGATTCCCTCCTCTTTGCAGAGCAGATGTTCAGTTTGGAGAGTGGGGGCAATTATCCACCACATAAACCTGAAACCATTTAGTTGACCCAAAGTGGCACTAACTGGCATTAGAGCTCAAAGTAGCAAAGTGGTTCCCTTTTTTATTTTTCTTTAGCTATTGTGATCATGCCACAGAGAGTCTTGTGTGCTGCAGTTATGTCTTTTTCTCTTTTCCCGGCCTTGAACGTGGTGACTTCAACTAGGACCACTGTCTAGTTAAGGTTTATTTATTTGTGGGTTTATTTTTTGGCAGTAATGGGGATTGAACTCAAGGCCCTGTGCTCCAAGAGCTCTATCACTTGAGCTCCACCAACAGTTCTTTTGCTTTTAGTTTGTTTTTCAGATAGGCTTCATGCTTTTTGCCAGGGCCAGCCTTGAACCTCGATCCTCTTTCCTCTACCTCATAAGAACTGGTATTAAGTAAGTGAGCCACCATTCCTGGCCTCTACTTAGGATTAGGTGGCATTGTTTTGTTTGCATTGAGTTGATTATTGAGTGATACTACACTTCTGGTAAATGATGTTACCACTTGTTTTCTCTGTAAATATAGTGGCATTGAAAAAAGGGTCTGATTTAAGAAAAATAATATGCAAAAAATAATAGGATAGGTGGCTCAAGCCATGGCCTCGATTGTTAAGGTGGCTCAGGAGGGACTCCAGCAGGAAAGCCTGGTGCTGGGGGCTGCTTGAAAAAGAGCTGTCTCCAAAGCCATTGGCTCTAGAGCAGAAATTTCCATGTCGATTCAGGCTAATGGAGGAGGCAGGCTTAGTTTCACATCCATCTACCAGGTATAGTCTTGGTGGAAACCAGAAAGAGCCCCAGGAAGTCCCCACAATTGTGGGTGAAAGCTGCTTGGAAATGGGGGGCAGGGCTCCTGAGGGCCAGGGCTCCTCAGGTGAGGCTCAGTGACCAACCCCAGGCATCTGCATTCAGCAGCCAGGCCTCTCTGCTCCTGAGACCCCACCCTCTGACTCAGAGCTCACCCCTTGCAGAGCAATCTCTGAGGCTCTGCTTTGCAAGTGAGCATTTTCAATTGACAACTTTAAAGACTCAATAATAATGCAAATGACCCCAGGTGAGGGCACGGGCAGCAGAGGGAATGGCGCTTATCAGTGCTCTGCACACAGTGCAGAAAGAGTCCTTTGATCCCCAAGCCTAGGCAGATTTCCATGAGACACTGGCTGGTAAAATCTCTGACATTTCCAGTATTGATTTTTTTCTTTTCGCTCTGAATTGATTTGAATTGTACCCAGAAGGAAAATTGGGGTTTCCAAGTAGAACTCTACAGCCTAGTGACTGAGGATAATTGGCTCCTTATAACATTTGAAACAGACGATATGAAATATTCTGCATTTTTCATTGCCTCGTTAGGTATCTTGGTGGTGGTGGGTTACGCATAGCACTTTTCCTGTTCTGCATCCATGGGCTACATTGTTTGTTAAAAGCCTTTCTTTGAGCCCAGAATATTCCATCCCTGTCGTTGAGACTGGAGTTTTGCTTGATACAGAAACTGGGGCTACAATCAATGGCTCTGAGTAAGTTAGTCCTAGGAAGAAGGGGAACTTAGCCACCATAGTTGCTAATAAGTCATGGGTGCCTGGTTGTGTGTTCACATATACACGTGTGTATATTTATGTATTTTTCCATTTGCAGCTTGTATATCTGCAAGAGTCCCAGGATGGTACTCATCGTCACAAGAGAGTTA